CAGCTTTTGAGTTCTAGGTCTTCATCCTGGCTCAGCCACCCTCCAGCAGTGTGGTCCTTCAGAATTTGCTTGACTATACTGAGTCTCATTGTCACCTATGAGCGGAGGTGATTACATTGCTACTTTATGGAGCATCTACCCCCAGGCACTCTTATAGGGCAATGGTGAGTATCAAATGAAACAAGGCTGAGGTAGGAGGATTGCTTGAAGCCAGGAGTTCAAGATTAGCCTGGGCAGCATAGCCAGACCTTGTCTCTACAAAAATGTTTCTTTAAAAATTAGCTAGCTAGATGTGGTGGTTTATGCCTATAGTTCCAGCTACTTGGAAGGCTGAGGTGAGAACACCACTTGAACCCATGGTCAAGGCTACAGTGAGCCATAGCCATGCCACTGCACTCAAGCCTGGGCAACAGAGAGAGATCATATCTCAAATATAAATACATAAATAAATGAAATAATGCATGCAATTAGTACACTAGTACATGATCAGGTACACGACAAATGCTCGATAAATGGTAGCCCCAATAAACTTTACAATGTTTCAGAATAGGGTGTCCTTTGGCCTCAGTCCAGTGATAAGAACCATTTGAAGAGACTAATCTACATGATGGCTATTTCCTACAGGTTCAAACCCATATCTCCAGGGACCCAGGGCATTGGCTCATGGAGTCCTTTGTTCTCTTTACTTTTGTTTTGGGCTGCACCAATTGACTGCAATTTTATACTCTAAAGCTTAAATCTTACATTTAAACGGAAATATAAAATGTTTCACTAGTTAATTTCCCAGGGTAACTCTCTTTAGCTCTTAGAGCCAGAGTTTTTTCATCTATAAAAGAAGCCATTGAAATAATAATTTGCAATAAATATAATAATTTTTCTTTATGCTTCCTGTACAGTACAGAGCATCATGCTTAGAAAGTCTTTCATAATCCCCAAGATCATGTAAATATTCATTTTCTTTGGTTTTTATGTTTATAGTTTTATTCATTAGTGCATTTTGTTTGTTAGTATGTTTACAGTTTCATTTGTTAACATCTTTACAACAACTGGAATTGGTTTCTGGCACTAGGTTTAAAGTAGTAATGATTCTAACTTAATTTTTTTCAGGTGGTTAATTAATTGCTCTAACAAAACTTATTGAATAATTCTTCTTTGCTCAAGAGGTCTTAATGTCACCTTTATCACATGCTAAAACAATGTATTCTTATAAAAATTCAGGTTTGTGGCCTGACGCAGTGGCTCATGCCTGTAATCCCAGAACTTTGGGAGGCCAAGGCAAGTGGATCACAAGATCAGAAGTTCAAGACCAGTCTGGCCAAGATGGTGAAACCTCATCTATACTAAAAATACGAAAATTAGCCAGGCACAGTGGCAAGCATCTGTAATCTTAGCTACTTGGGAGGCTGAGGCAGGAGAATTGCTTGAACTCAGGTGGCAGATGTTGCAGTGAGCCAAGATCACACCACTGCACTCCAGCCTGGATAATAGAGTTAGACTCCATCTCAAAAAAAAAAAATCAGCTTTTTTTTCTGGACTTCCTATTCTGTGCCATGATTTGTGATCTATTCTAAATTCGAAAGCCAATAAGGGCCCCCATATTCTCAGAAACAGAGTTTGTATTGCTTTGGAGATCTCTGTTTATATTCTTATGTCTTATATTAGACTGTGAGTTTCCTGAGGGAAGAGTCCTGTCTCACTCCTCTGTGTACCCTGAGAGCCGTGTGTGGTGTATGAAGGGAGGGCACAATAGCACCGCAGTGAGGTGAGGAAGCTTCAGGCTTAGGGCTGCCAGATTGAGCAAAGAAACATATAGGGCATGCAGTTAACCTACAATATGTGATAAACAGCAAATAGTTTTTTGTATGAGTATATCCCATGCAATGTTTGGGATACACTTATCCTAAAAGTTATCCAGACATCTTCACTGAAACATTCATCACATCCTTGTCAGACCACACACTTCTACTTACCGTGAGATCCAAGCTGAAAAACCAGGAATGCATTTTTTTTTTTTTTGCATGCCAAATGTCACAAGTTCAAGTTAGGAAAACCCAACTGGCTGTGTGTGAGAGTGGGGAATATGGTCTCCATGCCTGCAGAGGCAGTGTCCCATGCCAAAAAGGGACTGACTCACTGCTATTCCTCCATAAGGCCTCCTGTCTCAACCCCTTGCACCCTACTCCATGTTCCTGCCCCATGTCTCTCTTCCCCAGAGGCCTTGACCTGAGGGGGTGCAAAGCAGACACCGTATAATTCTACAGCTGACTGTTTATAGTCTCTAACCTTTCCTTCTCTTACAAAAGGAAAACAGGGCTCTCCTTTTCACCCAGTGTGTGAAAGCTGTGTGAACACACCCAGTAGACACTTAAGCTATGTTGGGGAGGCAGTCATCCTGTTTCTCATGTTTATCCACACACTTCCACAGGGGCTGCAAGCCTACACAGCCTAAGACACTTGGTCCAAATGGCCTCAGTTTGTGCCAGGCACAGTGTTAAGCATAGGGGTTACAATGGTGAAAAGAAAATGACCTGGCCTTTAATATCATGGAGCTTACTGTCTAGTAGGGGAGATGGCCATAAATCTAGTAGGGGAGATGATCAAAATTTATTTAATTGAGACAGTATAAAGAGATATAAGGATGTACAGTGAAGGACCTAATCTGATGGGGTGGGTAGTCAACATCCCAAATGAGGGATATTTGAGAAGGCATTAACTGTCAAAGGGAAGTGTTTCTGGCAGAGAGAACAGCATGTGCAAAGGTACTGAGGTGGGAGGAAGGGTGCTTCAGGGTTCTGCGTTGAGGGAGGTTGTGAGAGAGAAAGAGTGAAGCAAGAGGAGGCTGCAGAGACAGGCAGGGGCCAGATCCTTAAGGCCAAGGGTGAGTCAAGGCCATTGCAGGATTTAGCAAGAGAGTGACTTGATGATATTGGGCTTTTTAAGATGGGTATGATTGCAATACCAGAATGGGTGGTTGCAAGAGGCCAAAGTGGAAACTCCTGTGGAGGTCTCTGTAAGAGATGACAGTGACCTAGTGGTGGAAACGAGTCAGGAGAGAAGGAGACTTGGCTTCATCATTGTTGAATGCAGAAGAGAAATGAGGTATCAAGGAGATGGTGGCACAGCCCAGGAAGAATTTCATCACCCACTGGGCGCAGGGGATGGTGGTTAACCTGTTGGCAGATAGCCAGGATGGAAAAGAGAGAGTGAGGGAGAAGGAGCAGGAGCAAGAGAGCTAAAGCTGAGATCTCAAAGGACCAAGGAGATGCTACAGGGCCAGATCACAGAGGTGAGGCAGAAGGAACTCACTTGTTGCCCAACTTTCTCTCATTTAAGCCTCAAAAAGATTCTGCCAGCTAGAGGGGCACTTTCTCCACTTCACAGGGTAATCAACTATGGATCAGAACCTTTGCTAACATCGCAGAGCTGGGAATTGAATGCAAGTCTGTGTAACTACAAAGCCCACACTCTTCCCTCTCTTCCAGAGCCCCACTCCTGCCCCAGATCCTGAGGCCTATAGCCAAAAGGAAGGCTCAAAGATTTTCCAGCAGGGGAAGAAAGGAGCTGCATGGAAGGGCTGATTCTCAATTCCTGTAGTTCTCCCAGATCCCTGAGTCTGGGGGAATATGAGGAAACCAAGGCAGACATAACATGGAGACAGCAAAGGGCAGTGTTTCTCAACCCTGGCTACATGTTGCCATCATAAGGTGAACTCTGAAAACTCCTGGTACCTAGGCTGTCCCCCAACTGATTAGCTCAGAATCTCTAAGATGGGGCTTGGGCCTCAGAATGTTTTCAAGCTCTCCAGGTGCAACCAGGTTGAGAACCACTGGCATATCAGCTCCTCTCCTGAGACCCACCGTATCTCAGTCTAGACTCATTTTAGAAGGGCCTCCCACAACTGCATATGGGGCCACACTGCCCAGGATTACAGCCTAATCTGAGTTTAGGGCCTTATTAAGACCTTTAGAGACCCACAACACTGCAAAATTATTGTGCAGAGCTTCTTCCTTTTCCTTTCTTTCTCTCTCTTTCTCTTTCTTTCTTTCTTTCTTTCTTTCTTTCTTTCTTTCTTTCTTTCTTTCTTTCTTCTTTCTTTCTTTCTTTCTTTCTTTCTTTCTTTCTTTCTTTTTCTTTCTTTCTTTCTTTCTTTCCTTTCTCTTTTTTTTTCTCTCTCTCTCCCTAGTCCTCCCTCCCTTCATTTCTTCCTTTCTCTTTCTTTTTTTTATTTTTAAATTTGAGACAGGGTTTCTGTCTGTCACCCAGACTGGAGTACAGTGGCACAATCACAGCTCACTGCAGCCTCAATTTCCCAGGCACAGATGAATCTCCCACCTCAGTCTCATGGGCAGCTCGGACCATAGGCACATACCACCACATGTGGCTAATTTTTGCATTTTTTGTAGACAAGGAGTTTCACCATGTTTCCCAGGCTGGTCTTGAACTCTCAGGTTCAAGCAATCCTCCGTGTCAGCCTCCCAAAGTGCTAGGCTTACAGGCATGAGCCACCACACTCAGCTCCCCTTTTTCTTAAGTAGTTCTAAATAAAAACAAGACTAAATCATAACATAAAATTTGTTTTTTGAGAAATGACCCAAAACTTCCATGATAGCTGAAATTAAAATATTTATCTCTGAATTTTCTGCTGTGTGTTTGTGCACACACATACACACTTGTCCTTGGTTGGTGCCCTATGTGAGTACTTGCTGTAACTGTTGGGTTAATCTCCGCAGTGTCTGAAAGCACAATTTTCAGCAAACAGAAAAGCTCTACATAACACAATTTCCAAGCAGTTGAGACTGAAGCAGCAGTCTTCTTCTGGGTTTATTTTTTAAATTTTTAAAATGCATTTTAGGTTTGGGGGTACATGCGAAGAACACGCAAGATCACACACATAGCAGTGTGATTTGCTGCCTTCCTCCCCATCACTTATATCTGACATTTATCCCCATGCTATCCCTCCCCAACTCCCCGGCCGCTGTCCCTCCCCTATTTCCCCCCAAAAGAACCCAGTGTGTAGTGCTCCACTCCCTGTGTTCATGTGTTCTCATTGTTCGACACCCGCCTATGAGTGAGAACATGTGGTGCTTGATTTTCTGCTCTTGCGTCAGTTTGCTGAGAATGATGGTTTCCAGGTTCATCCATGTCTCTACAAAAGACAGGAACCCATCAATTTTGATGGCTGCATAATATTCATCATGCATATGTGCCACATTTTCCCTGTCAAGTCAATCATCCATGGGCATTTGGGTTGGTTCCAGGTCTTTGCTATTGTAAACAGTGCTGCAATGAACATTCATGTGCATGTGTCCTTATAGTAGAACAATTTATAATCCTTTCAATATACACCCAGTAACGGGATTGCTGGGTCAAATGAAATTTCTATTTCTAGGTCCTTGAGGAATCGCCACACTGTCTTCCAGAATGGTTGAACTAATTAACACTTGCACCAACAGTGTAAAAGTGTTCCTATTTCTTCACATCCTCTCCAGTATCATCCAGATTTTTTAATGATCGCCATTCTAACTGGCATGAGATGGTATCTCAATGTAATTTTGATTTGCATTTCTCTAATGACCAGTGATGATAAGCATTTTTTCATATGTTTGTTGGCCTCATGTATGTCTTCTTTTGTAAAGTGTCTGTTCATATCCTTTGCCCATTTTTGAATGGGCTTGTTTGTTTTTTTCTTGTAAATCTGCTTTAGTTCTTTGTAAATTCTGGATATCAGCCCTTTGTCAGATGGGTAAACTGCAAAAATTTTTTCCCATTCTGTTGGTTGCCGATTCACTCTGGTGACTGTTTCTTTTGCTGTGCAGAAGCTGTGGAGTTTGATTAGGTCCCATTTGTCTATTTTGGCTTTTGTTGCCAATGCTTTTGGTCTTTTGGTCATGAAGTCCTTGCCTACTCCTATGTCCTGGATGGTTTTGCCTAGATTTCCTTCTAGGGTTTTTATGGTGCCAGGTCTTATGTTTAAGTCTTTCATTCATCTGGAGTTAACTTTAGTGTAAGGTGTCAAAAAGGGGTCCAGTTTCTGCTTTCTGCACATGGCTAGCCAGTTTTCCCAACACCATGTATTAAACAGGGAATCCTTTTCCCATTGCTTGTTTTTGTCAGGTTTCTCAAAGATCGGATGGTTGTAGATGTGTTGTGTTGCCTATGAGGCCTCTCTTGTGTTTCATTGGTTTATATCTCTGTTTTAGTACCAGTACCATGCTGCTTTGATTACTGTAGCCTTGTAGTATAGTTTGAAGTCCAGTAGTGTGATACCTCCAACTGTGATCTTTTTGCTTAGAATTGACTTGACTATGCGGGCTCTCCTTTGGTTCCATATGAAGTTTAAGGTGGTTTTTTCCAGTTCTGTGAAGAAGGTCATTGGTAGCTTGATTGGGATAGCATTGAATATGTAAATTACCTTGAGCAGTGTGACCATTTTCATCATATTGATTTTTCCTAACCATGAACATGGAATGTTTCTCAATCCGTTTGTGTCCTCTCTTACTTCATTGAGCAGTGGTTTGTAGTTCTCCTTGAAGAGGTCCTTCACGTTTTTTGTTAGTTGTATTCCTAGGTATTTTATTCTCTTTTCAGCAATTGTGAATAGCAGTTTGTTCTTGATTTGGCTCTCTTTGAGTCTGTTATTGGTGTATAGAAATGCTTGTGATTTTTGCACATTGATTTTGTATCCTGAGACTTTGCTGAAGTTGCTTATCAGTTTCAGGAGATTTTGGGCTGAGACGATGGATTCTAGATTTACAATCATGTCATCTGCAAATAGAGACAATTTGACTTCCTTTTTTTCTATTTGGATACACTTTATTTCTTTTTCTTGCCTGCTTGTTCAGGTAGACCTTCCAATACTATATCAAATAAGAGTGGTGAGAGAGGGCATCCTTGTCTAGTGCCAGATTTCAAAGAGAATGCTTCCAGTTTTTGCCCATTTAGTATGATATTGGCTGTTGGTTTGTCATAAATAGCTTTTATTACTTTGAGATAAGTTCCATCGATACCGAGTTTATTGAGGGTTTTTAGCATAAAGGGCTGTTGAACTTTGTCAAAGGCCTTCTCTGAATCAATTGAGATAATCATCTGGTTTTTGTCTTTGGTTCTGTTTATGTGTTGACTTATGTTTATAGACTTGCATATGTTGAACCAGCCTTGCATCCCCAGGATGAATCCTACTTGATCGTGGTGGATAAGCTTTTTGATGTGCTGTTGCAATTGGCTTGCCAGTATTTTATTGAAAATTTTTGCATTTATGTTCATCATGAATATTGGCCTGAAGTTTTCTTTCTTGCTGAGTCTCTGCCGGGTTTTGGTATTAGGATGATGTTGGTCTCATAAAATGATTTGGGAAGGATTCTCTCTTTTTGGATTGTTTGGAATAGTTTCAGAAGGAATGGTACCAGTTCCTCTTGTGTGTCTGGTAGAATTCGGCTGTGAACCCATCCGGACCTGGGATTTTTTTGTGTGATAGGCTCTTAATTGCTGCCTCAACTTCAGACCTTGTTATTGGTCTATTCAGCCTTTCTATTTTTTCCTGGTTTAGGTTTGGGAGCACGTAAGTGTCCAGGAATTTATCCATTTCTTCCAGGTTTACTAGTTTATGTGAATAGAGTTGTTTCTAATAATCTCTGATGATGGTTTGAATTTCTGTGGAATATGTAGTGATATCCCCTTTATTTTTTTTATTGTATCTATTTGATTTTTCTCTCTTTTCTTTTTCATTAATCTGGCTAGGAGTCTGTCTATTTTGTTGATCTTTTCAAGAAACCAGATACTGAATTTATTGATTTTTTGAAGGTTTTTCCGTGTCTCTATCTCCTTCAGTTCTGCTCTGATCTTAGTTATTTCTTGTCTTCTGCTAGGTTTTGAGGTTTTTGATCTTCCTCCTCGAGCTCTTTCAATTTTGATGATATGGTCAATTTTAGATCTCTCCTTGCTTCTCATGTGGGCCTTTATTGCTATATATTTTCCTCTAGAGACTGCTTTAAATGTGTCTCAGAGATTCTGGTATGTTATGTCTTCGTTCTCTTTGGTTTTGAAGAACATCTTTATTTCTGCCTTCATTTCATTGTTTTCACAGTCAACATTCAAGAGCCAGTTGTTTAGTTTTCATGAAGCTGAGCGGTTCTAAGTTAGTTTCTGAATTCTGAAACTTGATTGCACTGTGGTCGGAGAGACTGTTATGATTTTCATTTTTTTTGCATTTGCAGAGTAGTGATTTACTTCCCATTATGTGGCCAATTTTAACATAGGTGCAATGTGGTGCTGAGACAAATGTATTTTCTGTGGATGTGGGGTGGAGAATTTGGTAAATTTCTATTAGGTTTGCTTGTTCCAGGTCTGAGTTCAAGTCCTGGATATCTTTGTTAATTTTCTGTCTCATTGATCTAATATTGATAATGGGGTGTTAGTCTCCCACTGTTATTTTGTGGGAGTCTAAGTCTCTTTGTAAGTCATTAAGAGCTTGCCTTATGTATCTGGGTGCTCCTGTATTGGGTGCATATATATTTTGGATCACTAGCTCTTCTTGTTGCATTGATACTTTTTTTTTTTTTGAGATGGAGTTTCACTCTTGTTACCCAGGCTGGAGTGCAATGGTGCCATCTTGGCTCACTGCAACCTTCGCCTCCTGGGTTCAGGCAATTCTTCTGCCTCAGCCTCCTGAGTAGCTGGGATTACAGGCACATGGCACCATGCCCAGCTAATTTTTTGTATTTTTAGTAGAGATGTGGTTTCACCATGTTGACCAGGATGGTCTCGATCTCTTTACCTCATGATCCACCTGCCTCGGCCTCCTAAAGTTTATCCTTTTACCATCATGCAATGTCCTTCTTTGTCTTTTTTGATCTTTGCTGCTTTACAGTCCATTTTATCTGAGATGAGAATTGCAACTTCTGCTTTTTTTTGCTCTCTATTTGCTTGGTAAATCTTCCTCCATCTCTTTATTTTGAGCCTTGTGTATCCTTGCATGTTTGATGGGTTTCCTGGATACAGCACACTGATAGATTTTGGCTTATTATCCAATTTGCCAGTCTGTGTCTTTTGATTGGGGCATTTAGCCTATTTACATTTCGGGATAATATTATGTGTAAATTTGATACTGCCATTTTGATGTTAGCTGGCTGTTTTGCCTGTTAGTTGATGCAGTTTCTTCATTGTGTTGATGTTCTTTAACATTTGGTATGTTTTTTCAGTGGCTGGTACTGATTGTTTTTTTCTGTGTTTAGTGCCTCTTTCAGGAGCTCTTGTAAAGCAGGCCTAGTGGTGATGAAATCTCTGAGTACTTGCTTGTTCACAAAGGACTTTATTTTTCCTTCACTTATGAAGCTTAGTTTGCCTGGATATGAAATTCTGGGTTGAAATTTCTTTTCTTTAAGGATGTTGAATATTGGCCCCCACTCTCTTCTGGCTTTTAGGGTTTATGGTGAGAGATCTGCTTTGAGTCTGATGGGCTTCCGTTTGTGGGTAACCTGACCTTTGTCTCTGGCTGCCCTTAGCATTTTCTCCTTCCTTTCACCCCTGGTGAATCTGATGATTATGTGCCTTGGGGTTGCTCTTCTTGAGGAATATCTTTGTTCTGTTCTCTGTATTTTTTGGACTTGGTTATTGACCTGCCTTGCTAGGTTGGTTAAATTTTCTGAATAACTCGTAAATAAAGCCCTAACTCCCCAGGAAAGAGCACCGGTGGGAAAAAACCTGCCTTGCTAGGTTGGGGGAAAATTCTGAAGAGTATCCAGCTTGGATTTATTCTCTCCGTCACATTCAGCTACACCTATCAAACGTAGGTTAGGTCTTTTCACATAGTCCCATAATTCTTGGAGACTTTCTTCATTCCTTTTTACCCCCTTTTCTCTAACCTTGCCTTCTCATTTTATTTCATTGAGTTGATCTTCGACCTCTGATATCCTTTCTTCTGCTTGCTCAATTTGGCTGTTGAAACTTGTGTATGCTTTGAGATGTTCTTGTGTTGTGTTTTTCAGCTCCATCAGTTCACTTATATTTCTCTCTAAGTTGTCTATTCTCATTAGCATTTTGTCAAATCATTTTTCAACGTTTTCAATTTCTTTGCATTGGCTTAGAACATGTTCTTTTAGCTCACAGAAGTTTCTTGTGACCCACCTTCTGAAGCCTGATTCTGTCAATTCATCACACTCATTCTCCCTCCTGCCTTGTTTCCTTGCTGGTGAGTAGTTGTAATCCCTTGTAGGAGGAGAGCCATTTTAGTTTTAGTTGTTTTCATTCTTTTTGCCCTTGTTTCTTCCCATCTTTGTGGATTTATTCACCTGTCGTCTTTGTAGTTGTTGACTCTCAGTTTGGGTCTCTGAGTGAACATTCAGATTGTTGATGATGAAGTTATTTCTTTCCATTTCTTAGTTCTAAAAGTCTGGCTCCTCTGCTATAGGATTGCTGAGGTCACCTGCAGTGGCTGCAGAACAGTAAGGGTTGTTGCCATTTTCTTCTTCTGCTATCTTTGTCCCAGAAGTATACCCACCAGATGTCAGTCTGAGCTCTCCTTTATGAGGTGACTCTTTGGATATACAGGGGTCAGGGAGCTCTTGAGGAGACAGTCTGTCCTTTATAGGAGCTCAAGTGCTGAGATGTGAGTTACATTGTTTGTTCAGAGCTGCTAGGCAGGTACATTTAAGTCTGCTGCAGCAGAACTCATAACCCTTTCCTTTTTCCCCCCAGGTGCTCTTTCCTGGGGAGTTAGGGCTTTATTTATGAGTTTCTGTTGTGCTGCTGGCTTTTTTCAGGGCTGCCCTGCCCAGCGAGCAGGCAGCCAAGTCACTGTCTGCCTACAGTGGTTTTGCTGAGCTGCTGTGGGCTCTGCCCAGTTGCCGTGTGAACTTGCCTGCAGTCCTGTTTATATGGGTGTAGTTAGAACTGCCTCAGCAATGGTGGCCCACCTCTATAATGGCAGACTCTCTCAGTAATGGCGGGGTTGCCTCGGCAATGGTGGGCTGCCTCAGCAATGACAAAGTACCTCCATAGTGGTGGACTGCCTCAGTAATGACAGACGCCCCTCCCCCACAGAGCTGGACCATCCCAAGTTCAGCTGTGCTTGCTGTGAAAGTCTCAATCCAGAGTGTTTCCGATTGCTGGTTTTTTGTAGGGGTGGGACCAGCCAAGCCTGATCATCTGGCTCCCTGCCTTAGAGCCTTCCTTTTTTTTTTTTTTTTTCTAGTTGAACGGTTGACTGTCTCCCAGGTGTTCCAGTTGCCTGTTGAAAAGGTGCCAGGATCTCTGTGATTTCCCGTGCAGCCACCCACTGCACTGGCTGAAACAGCAACACTGAAATTCGTGGCACTTTTTTGCCTGGGAATCTCCTGGCCTGGCTCCCTGTTTCAGTCCCCTTTTTAATCAGATGAATGGGCTACTCTGCCTTCCCAAAGCTCCAATCGCCTGCCAAAACAGTGCCCAGACACATGTATTTTGTATGGACAACTGCCGTGCTGGGGTACCAGCAAAACAGCAGCACCTGCCAAAACAGCTGCTTTGGCGAGCCATCAGGCTCCTCCATCTGGGAATCTCCTGGTCTGTGGGCAATAAAATTCCATCTGGAAATGCGGCGTCCACTCACCCTCCACGCTTTCACTTAGAGCTGCAATCCTGAGCTGCTCCTACTTGGCCATCTTGGATCCCTCCCCTCTTCTGGATTTAATTTGAATTAACTCATTTATGCTGGAGGTTGAAACTGTTTTTTGTGAAAAATCAGACCTTGGCGATGACCTTGAGCAGTAGGATGTAAATAACTTCCACAAGCTTAGCACTCCAATAATGGAACACTAGCATAAATGGCTAAACTGCCAAACTGTACTTGTGCAGGAAAGTGACAATTTTCAGCAAAATATCTTCAGATGAGGCCTGTCACCCCAAGGGCTGCCCTGGAATGGCACCTTTCCATCCCAGGGAGAGAGCTCTGTTGGGAGCATAAGATGGACCAAGAAGACCCATCCATTGAGAAAGTGACCTTTGTTTTGTCCCCTTTTAATGATGAAAGGTGCTTGGTGCAATGACCAGTTCTAATGGGGAAAGTAGTTGGGGACATAGGCATTGTCTTTCCCATGTGTGCCCCAGCTGGGGTCAAAACTCTCACGTTTCACCCTCAGGGTGAAAAGTTTCAGGAGATGGATCAGGAGTGATGTACAACTCTCGGCTGCCCAGGCTGGGCTCCTCTCACCACTCCTCGGTCCTGCCCTCTGGAATCCTGAGCACACTGGCAGGAGCCCTTTTCGTAATCTGATTTCTGACCAGAATGCCTATGGCTTCCCAATATCCACACAGGGCAGCCTAGTGTAAAGATCCTGAAAGTAGGAGAACAATTGATCAAGTTAACTTAAAATGTGACTAAAACTGTCTCTGATGGCAAAGCCCTTCATGACAAAAATTCTGGACCATGTAAACGTGGCTCTGAGCATGGCACCTATGACCAGACCCCTCACTCTGACCTCTTGAGTATTTGAGCCCAGTCTTCTTCATAGTCGAAGCTGGAAATAGACCTCATAGAGGCCACGTGATAACTGCAATTCCCATGTGTCTGTCACAGCTGATTTCACCCACACCATCCTCTGCCCAGCCATTCCAGTTCTGGCATGCCCTGCAACTGCAGTCAGGGCTCTTTGGGTGTGAGTGACAGAAAATTGACTTGAGTTTTCTTAGGCAAGAATGGAGGTTCATTGGTCAGTAAGTTAGCCACGGGCAGGGCAGAGAACAGTTGGGGCTCAGGAATACCTGGACTCAGAGTCACTAGCACTGTTAGGATTTGCAGGCTCCTTCCTTTATCTTTGTCTTCACCTCAGTCTGCAGATCAGTTTTGTGCTCTCAGAGCAACTTTCCCCAGAAGGTTGGAATCAGGCCGTCGATAGCACAAGGCTTCCATCTCTTAGCTTTGCCCCAAGAAAGGGTGGAACTCCCCTCCATTAGTTTCTATTCAGAAAATTCCAGAAGAAAGTTTCTGCTTGGTTTGTTTGGTCTCGTCTGGGTTGGCTGGGTAGCTGGGACACTAAAATTGCCAAGCCCTCTAGTGCCATGTGGTTGAAGTAGGGAGGGGAGATGTATTAGTTCAGGGTGCCATGCCAAAATACTACAGACTGGGCGGCTCAAACCACACACATTTATTTCTCAGAGTTCTGGAGGCTGGGAAATTCAACGTCAAAGTGCCTGCAAGGTGAGTTCCATTCTGAGGCCTCTTCTCTTAGCCTGAAGGTGGCTGCCATATTGTGTGCTCATGTGACTTCTTCTTTGTATTTGTATGGAGAGAGAGTGAGTGCACTCTCTGGTGTCTCGTCTTATAAGGACACCAATAGTACTGAATCAGGGCCCCACCCTTGGGACCTTATTTAACCTTAATGACTTCCTGAGAGGCCTCATCTTCGACTACAGCCACACAGAGAATTAGGGCTTCAACATATGAATTTGGAGGAGACAGAGACATTCAGTCCATGATGGGAAGAAAAAATATTCATGAAAGAAAGGGTGCAGTGGCCAGAAAAGGGGACAGACAAAACTACAGATGCTTTCCATCCAGATTTGGCATTTTCTCTCCAAAGATCTGTTCAATTTATATTGTGTGGTTAAAATCGTGTTTTCTTTCTGTGGGAGCACTACTTCTCAGCTGCATCTAGTCAGGCTGCTTGCTCAGATCTTTTTTGAATTTTTTGAGTCTTGTTTTGTGGCTAATATATGGTCTATCCTGGAGAATATTCCATGTGCTGATGAGAAGTATGTGTATTCTGTAGCTGTTGCATGACATGTTCTGTAAATGTTTTTTAGGTTCACTTGATCTAGAGTGAAGATTAAGTTGAATGCTTCTTTGTTGAGTTTCCATGGTGGATCTGTGCAATGATGAAAGTGAGGTGTTTAGGTATCCTGCTACCATTGTATTGAAGACTATCTCTCTCTTTATCTTTAATAGAAAATACTGTCCAGTCAGTAAGGCCTGGAATCTTGAGCTTCAGTAATCTACTTGGTGCTTTATTTCAACGTGACTAAACCGGTATCCGAGTTGCAAGATAAACTTCTCTGTACCACTCACTCTCATTTTCTAAAGTGAAAAAAATTTATCCCAGAACTGAACTGCATGGAATTAAGAAGGTGTTACCCTGTCTTGATAACCTATTTTATTACCCTAGGCAATTGTCTGCCAGTTAGTCCTGACTGTGCATATTTTTAAAATTATAATTTTAAGTTCTGGGGTACATGTGCAGAACATGCAGGTTTGTTACACAGGTATACATGTGCCATGGTGCTTTGCTGCATCCACCACCCCACCATCCACATTAGGTGTTTCTCCTAATGCTATCCCTCCCCTAGGCCCCACCCCCTGACATGCCCCAGTGTTGATGTTCCCCTCCCTGTGTCCATGTGTTCTCATTGTGCAATTCCCACTTATGAGTGAGAACGTGCAATGTTTGGTTTTCTGTTCTTGTGTCAGTTTGCTGAGAATGATGGTTTCCAGCTTCATCCACATCCCTGCAAAGAACATGAACTCATCCTTTTTTATGGCTATGTAGTATTCCATGGTGTATATGTGCCACATTTTCTTTATCCAGTCTATCATTGATGAGCATTCCAGTTGGTTCCAAGTCTTTGCTATTGTGAGCGGTGCTGCAATAAACACACCTGTGCATATGTCTTTATAATACAATGAGTTATCAACCTTTGGGTATATACCTAGTAATGGTTTTGCTGGGTCAAATGGTATTTCTAGAATTGGATCCTTGAGGAATCACCATGCTGTCTTCCACAACAGTTGAACTAATTTTACACTTTCACCAACACTGTAATAATGTTCCTATTTCTTCACATCCTCTCCAGCATTTGTTGTCTACTGATTTTTTAATGATCGCCATTTTAACTGGGGTGAAATGGTATCTCAATGTGGTTTTGATTTGAATTTCTCTAATGACCAGTGATGATGAGCTTTTTTTCATATTAAAGAAATCTAAGGTTAAAAAAATAAGGTAGTGACATTTACATCTCATAGTACAGAGAGAAAGAGTCTGGTGCTAGAGAAAGATTAAAAGTGGATGCCAAGTAAAAATTGTAGAAATCTGTCATAGGACTGTAAGAAAGGGCAAGTTTTACTTAGATAAAGACTACCTATCTTTTTTTTTTTTTTAATTTTTTATTGGATTATAGGTTTTGGGGTACATGAGCAGAGCATGCAAGACAGTTGCGTAGGTACACACATGGCAGTGTGCTTTGCTTTTCTTCTCCCCTTCACCCACATTTGGCATTTCTCCCCAGGCTATCCCTCCCCACCTCCCCCTCCCACTGGCCCTCCCCTTTTCCCCCCAATAGACCCCAGTGTTTAGTACTCCCCTTTCTGTGTCCATGTGTTCTCATTTTTCATCACCCACCTATGAGTGAGAATATGCGGTGTTTCATTTTCTGTTCTTGTGTCAGTTTGCTGAGGATGATGTTCTCCAGATTCATCCATGTCCCTACAAACGACACAAACTCATCATTTCTGATTGCTGCATAATATTCCATGGTGTATATGTGCCACATTTTTCCAATCCAGTCTATTATCAATGGGCATTTGGGTTGATTCCAGGTCTTTGCTATTGTAAACAGTGCTGCAATGAACATACGTGTACATGTGTCCTTATAGTAGAACGATTTATAGTCTTTTGGATATATACCCAGTAATGGGATTGCTGGGTCAAATGGAATTTCTATTTCTAAGGCCTTGAGGAATCGCCACACCGTCTTCCACAATGGTTGAACTAATTTACACTCCCACCAACAGTGTAAAAGTGTTCCTTTTTCTCCACATCCTCTCCAGCATCAGTTGTCTCCAGATTTTTTAATGATCGCCATTCTAACTGGCGTGAGATGGTATCTCAATGTGGTTTTAATTTGCATCTCTCTGATGACCAGTGACGATGAGCATTTTTTCATATGATTGTTGGCCTCATATATGTCTTCCTTCGTAAAGTATCTGTTCATATCCTTTGCCCACTTTTGAATGGGCTTGTTTGTTTTTTTCCTGTAAATCTGCTTGAGTTCTTTGTAAATTCTGGATATCAGCCCTTTGTCAGATGGGTAGACTGCGAAAATTTTTCCCATTCTGTTGGTTGCCGATCCACTCTAGTGACTGTTTCTTTTGCCGTGCAGAAGCTGTGGAGTTTCATTAGGTCCCATTTGTCTATTTTGGCTTTTGTTGCCAATGCTCTTGATGTTTTGTTCATGAAGTCCTTGCCTACTCCTATGTCCTGGATAGTTTTGCCTAGATTTCCTTCTAGGGTTTTTATGGTGCCAGGTCTTATGTTTAAGTCTTTAATCCATCTGGAGTTAATTTTAGTGTAAGGTGTCAGGAAGGGGTCCAGTTTCTGCTTTCTGCACATGGCTAGCCAGTTTTCCCAACACCATTTGTTAAACATGGAATCCTTGCCCCATTGCTTGTTTTTATCAGGTTTATCAAAGATTGTATAGTTGTATGTATGTTGTGTTGCCTCCGGTGCCTCTGTTTTGTTCCATTGGTCTATATCTCTGTTTTGATACCAGTACCATGCTGTTTTGATTACTGTAGCCTTGTAGTATAGTTTGAAATCCGGTAGTGTGATGCCCCCCGCTGAGTTCTTTTTGCTTAGAATTGACTTGGCTATGCGGGCTCTCTTTTGGTTCCATATGAAGTTCATGGTGGTTTTTTCCAGTTCTGTGAAGAAAGTCAATGGTAGCTTGATGGGGATAGCGTTGATTTTGTAAATTACTTTGGGCAGTATAGCCATTTTCACGATATTAATTCTTCCTAACCATGAACATGGAATGTTTCTCCATCTGTTTGTGTCCTCTCTTATATCGTTGAGCAGTGTTTTGTAGTTTTCTTTGAAGAGGTCCCTTACGTTCCTTGTGAGTTGTATTCCGAGGTATTTTATTCTTTTTGTAGCAATTGTGAATGGCAGTTCGTTCTTGATTTGGCTCTCTTTCAGTCTGTTATTGGTGTAGAGGAATGCTTGTGATTTTTGCACGTTGATTTTATATCCTGAGACTTTGCTGAAGTTGCTTATCGGTTTCAGGAGTTTTTGGGCTGAGGTGATGGGGTTTTCTAGGTATACTATCATGTCGTCTGCAAATAGAGACAATTTGGCTTCCTCCTGTCCTATTTGAATACCCTTTATTTCTTTTTCTTGCCTGATTGCTCTGGCTAGAACTTTCAGTACTATATTGAATAGGAGTGGTGAAAGAGGGCATCCTTGTCTAGTGCCGGATTTCAAAGGGAATGCTTCCAGTTTTTGCCCATTAAGTACGATATTGGCTGTTGGATTGTCATAAATAGCTTTTATTACTTTGAGATACGTTCCATCGATACTGAGTTTATTGAGGGTTTTTAGCATAAAGGGCTGTTGAATTTTGTCAAATGCCTTCTCTGCGTCAATTGAGATAATCATGTGGTTTTTGTTTTTGGTTCTGTTTATGTGGTGAATTACGTTGATAGACTTGCGTATGTTGAACCAGCCTTGCATCCCTGGGATGAATCCTACTTGATCATGATGAATAAGTTTTTTGATTTGCTGTTGCAATCGGCTTGCCAATATTTTATTGAAGATTTTTGCATCTATGTTCATCATGGATATTGGCCTGAAGTTTTCTTTTCTCGTTGGGTCTCTGCCGGGTTTTGGTATCAGGATGATGTTGGTCTCATAAAATGATTTGGGAAGGATTCCCTCTTTTTGGATTGTTTGAAATTGTTTTAGAAGGAATGGTACCAGCTCCTCCTTGGGTGTCTGGTAGAATTCGGCTGTGAACCCGTCTGTGGTAGGCTCTTAATTGCTGCCTCGACTTCAGACCTTGTTATTGGTCTATTCATAGTTTCAGCTTCCTCCTGGTTTAGGCTTGGGAGGACACAGGAGTCCAGGAATTTATCCATTTCTTCCAGGTTCACTAGTTTATGTGCATAGAGTTGTTTGTAATATTCTCTGATGATGGTTTGAATTTCTGTGGAATCTGTGGTGATTTCCCCTTTATCATTTTTTATTGCATCTATTTGGTTGTTCTCTCTTTTATTTTTAATCAATCTGGCTAGTGGTCTGTCTATTTTGTTGATCTTTTCAAAAAACCAGCTCTTGGATTTATTGATTTTTTTGAAGGGTTTTTCGTGTCTCAATCTCCTTCAGCTCAGCTCTGATCTTAGTAATTTCTTGTCTTCTGCTGGGTTTTGAGTTTTTTTGATCTTGCTCCTCTAGCTCTTTCAATTTTGACGATAGGGTGTCAATTTTGGATCTCTCCATTCTCCTCATATGGGCACTTATTGCTATATACTTTCCTCTAGAGACTGCTTTAAATGTGTCCCAGAGGTTCTGGCACGTTGTGTCTTCGTTCTCATTGGTTTCAAAGAACTTCTTTATTTCTGCCTTCATTTCGTTGTTTACCGAGTCAACATTCAAGAGCCAGTTGTTCAGTTTCCATGAAGCTGTGCGGTTCTGGGTCGGTTTCTGAATTCTGAGTTCTAACTTGATTGCACTATGGTCTGAGAGGCTGTTTGTTATGATTTCAGTTGTTTTGCATTTGTTGAGCAGTGCTTTACTTCCAATTATGTGGTCAATTTTAGAGTAGGTGTGATGTGGTGCTGAGAAGAATGTGTATTCTGTGGATTTGGGGTGGAGTGTTCTGTAAATGTCCACCAGGTTTGCTTGCTCCAGGTCTGAGTTCAAGCCCTGGATATCCTTGTTGATTTTCTGTCTGGTTGATCTGTCTAGTATTGACAGTGGAGTGTTAAAGTCTCCCACTATTATTGTGTGGGAGTCTAAGTCCTTTTGTAAGTCATTAAGAACTTGCCTTATGTATCTGGGTGCTCCTGTGTTAGGTCCATATATGTTTATGATCGTTAGCTCTTCTTGTTGTATCGATCCTTTTACCATTATGTAATGGCCTTCTTTGTCTCTTTTGATCTTTGTTGCTTTAAAGTCTATTTTATCAGAGATGAGAATTGCAACTCCTGCTTTTTTTTGCTTTCCATTAGCTTGGTAAATCTTCCTCCATCCCTTTATTTTGAGCCTTTGTGTATCCTTGCATGTGAGATGGGTTTCCTGGATACAGCACACTGATGGGTTTTGGATTTTTATCCAATTTGCCAGTCTGTGTCTTTTGATTGGTGCATTTAGTCCATTTACATTTAGGGTTAATATTGTTATGTGTGAATTTGATACTGCCATTTTGATGCTAAGTGGCTGTTTTGCCTGTTAGTTGTTGTAGATTCTTCATTATGTTGATGCTCTTTAGCATTCAGTGTGATTTTGGAATGGCTGGTACTGATTGATCCTTTCTATTTGTAGTGCCTCTTTTAGGAGCTCTTGTAAAGCAGGCCTGGTGGTGACAAAATCTCTGAGTACTTGCTTGTTCGCAAAGGATTTTATTCTTCCTTCACTTCTGAAGCTCAGTTTGGCTGGATATGAAATTCTGGGTTGAAAGTTCTTTTCTTTAAGAATGTTGAATATTGGCCCCCACTCTCTTCTGGCTTGTAGTGTTTCTGCCGAGAGATCTGCTGTGAGTCTGATGGGCTTCCCTTTGTGGGTGACCCGACCTTTCTCTCTGGCTGCCCTTAGTATTCTCTCCTTTATTTCAACCCTGTTGAATCTGAGGATTATATGCCTTGGGGTTGCTCTTCTTGCAGAATATCTTTGTGGTGTTCTCTGTATTTCCTGCAATTGAGTGTTGGCTTGTCTTGCTAGGTGGGGGAAATTTTCCTGGATGATGTCCTGAAGAGTATTTTCCAGCTTGGATTCATTCTCTTCTTCCCCTTCTGGTACACCTATCAAACGTAGGTTAGGTCTTTTCACATAGTCCCACATTTCTTGGAGACTTTGTTCATTCCTTTTTGCGCTTTTTTCTCTGATCTTGGTTTCTCGTTTTATTTCATTGAGTTGGTCTTCGACTTCAGATATTCTTTCTTCTGCTTGGTCAATTCGGCTATTGAAAGTTGCGTTTGCTTCGCGAAGTTCTCGTATTGTGTTCTTCAGCTCCTTTAATTCATTCATATTCCTCTCTAAGTTATCCATTCTTGTTATCATTTCCTCGAATCTTTTTTCAAATCTTTTTTCAAGGTTCTTAGTTTCTTTGCATTGATTTAATACATGATCTTTTAGCTCACAAAAGTTTCTCATTATCCATCTTCTGAAGTCTAATTCCGTCATTTCGTCACAGTCATTCTCCGTCCAGCTTTGTTCCCTTGCTGGTGAGGAGTTTTGGTCCTTTCTAGGAGGTGTTGTGTTCTGGTTTCGGGTGTTTTCCTCCTTTTTGCGCTGGTTTCTTCCCATCTTTGTGGATTTGTCCGCTGGTCGTCTGCGTAGTTGCTGACTTTTCGTTTGGGTCTCTGAGTGGACACCCAGAATGTTGATGATGAAGTATTTCTGTTGCTTGGTTTTCCTTCTACCAGTCTAGCCCCTTCGCTGTACGACTGTTGAGGTCCGCTCCAGACCCTGCTTGTCTGGGGTGCACCTCTAGTAGCCGTGGCACAGCGAGGGATGCTACCAGTTTCTTTTTCTGCTTTGTCCCAGGATGATGCCTGCCTAATGACAGTCTTTTTTGGATATAGAGGGGTCAGGGAGCTGCTTGAGGAGACAGTTTGTACTTTATAGGGGTTTAATTGCTGAGCTGTGCACTCTGTTGTTCATTCAGGGCTGTTAGGCTGCTATGTTTGATTCTGCTGCAACACAGCTCATTAAACAACCCTTTTTTTTTTTCTCAAATGCTCTGTGTTGAGGGGTTTGGGCTTTATTTTTGGATGTCTGATCAGGTGTCCTGCCCAGCTCGAAGGCAGACTAGCCACTGTTTGGCTGCCGAGGCTCCGCCCTGCTGTTGTGTGATTCGCGCTGTTCCTGCCAGCTCTGCTGTGGTCTCCGCCATGCCCTGCGGCGGAGTCTCTTCGTTGTAGCATGTTGCCTCAGCAACGGCAGGCTGCGTCAGCAGTGGGCGTGTATCTCAGTAGGGACGGGTTGCCTCGGCAACGGCTGGCTGCGTCAGCAGTGGGCGTGTATCTCAGTTGGGGCGGGTTGCCTCGGCAACGGCTGGCTGCGTCAGCAGTGGGAGTGTATATCAGTTGGGGCAGGTTGCCTCCGTAGTGGTGGACGCCCCTCCCCCACAGAGCATCTCGGCCCGTCTGCCCGGGATAGTTTGAAATCGCGGTTTTGTTCGTCCCACTGGGTATCCCAAACGATCTGTCCCTGCAATCCCCTGGGCTGGGCTATGGTGAAAGTCTCGTTCAGTCTCAAGTCCAGCCCTCTCAAGTCTCAGGCTGCCGGATCAACAAGGCACCCGGACAATTGCGCCCTGTGGGGATTGCTGGGTAGGGCCGGCCGCCGCCGCCCTGGCTGCCGGCTTCGCCAGGCAGACCTACTGCCTGGCGTCCCGTGTCTTTTTATACTTGGGAGTTTCCCCGTTCTGTGGGCAACAAAGATCAGTCTGGAAATGCAGCACTGACTCATCGTTTGCGGATTCAACGCGGGCTCCAATCCTGGGTTGTTCTCACAGCGCCATCTTGAGTCCCCTCCTCCCGACTACCTATCTTTTAACTGGAACTCTGAGCTCTGGGCAGAGCCTGCACTGAATTCTGGGTCTCCAACAAGGTAGAATTATTATGAGACTAGACCATGATGCTTTCACAGTGCACTTTACAAAAAAAATTAACAAAGACCTTTCTAAGTGTCTAAACTACACACTTTCTTAAAAACCCAAGAATAGCCTCTGTTGTAATAACTATTTTAGTCAAAAAATCTGGTAACACAATACAAAAGCTAGTACTTTATGACCTGAGACAAACTTGACTACTTACCCAATCTTGGGATTCCATAAAGAAAAACAGGTTTCTCCCCAGAAAAGAGTCTTGTGCCTTCTCTGTTTGCTTAGATGAATCCCAAGCTATTGTAAGCTATTTTAAGTCCCTAATGCAGCAGAGGGAGATAGAAGAATGGAGAGACAGCAGAACTAAATGATGAAAATAAAATTCAATGAACTGAGAAAAAAATTTAAAAAAAACTTTTGTTCAGAAAAGAAAAAGTCCTAGAAAGGATGAAAAATAAAGTCCTTTTAATACAAATATACACACGTGTACATGCACACACAACACACGCCCACACATACACACACATGCACACATCCTAGATGTTAGCTTTTAATCAAGCTGACTTTTAACCATTGAATTGCTTAAAACAAATTTTTCTAAATATCATTTTACTGGAAAGGAGTCCAGATCCAGACCCCAAGAAAGTGTTCTTGGATCTCAAACAAAAAAGTATTTGAGGTGAATCCATAAAGTGAAAGCAAGTTTATTAACAACGTGAACTAATAAAAGAATGGCTGCCTACTCCTATGTCCTGAATGGTTTTACCTAGATTGTCTTCTAGAGTTTTTATGGTGCCAGGTCTAATGTTTAAGTCTTTAATCCATCTGGAGTTAACTTTAGCATAAGGTGTCAGGAAGGAGTCCAGTTTCTGCTTTCTGCATGTGGCTAGCCAGTTTTCCTGACACCATTCATTAAACAGGGAATCCTTTCCCCATTGCTTGTATTTGTCAGATTTATCAAAGATTGTATGATTGTAGATATGTTGTGTTGCCTCTGATGCCTCTGTTCTGTTCCATTGGTCTATATCTCTGTTTTGGTACCAGTACCACGCTGTTTTGATTACTGTAGCCTTGTGGTATAGTTTGAAGTCCGGTAGTGTGATGCCTCCTGCTGTGTTCTTTTTGCTTAGAATTGACTTGGCTATGTGGGCTCTCTTTGGTTTCATATGAAGTTCAAGGTGGTTTTTTCCAGTTCTGTAAAGAAAGTCAATGGTAACTTGATGGGGATAGTGTTGAGTCTGTAAATTACTTTGGGCAGTATGGCCATTTTCTCAATATTGCTTCTTCCTAACCATGAACATGGAATATTTCTCCATCTGTTTGTGTTTTCTCTTATTTCATTGAGCAGTGATTTGTAGTTCTCCTTGAAGAGGTCCCTTATGTTCCTTGTTAGTTGTATTTTTAGGTATTTTATTATCTTTGTAGCAATTGTGAAAGGCATTTCGTTCTTGATTTGGCTCTCTTTTAGTCTTTTATTGGTATATAGAAATGCTTGTGATTTTTGCACATTGATTTTATATCCTGAGACTTTGCTGAAGTTGCTTATCAGTTTCAGGAATTTTTGGGCTGAGGCGATGGGATCTTCTAGATATACAATCATGTCAGCTGCAAATAGAGACAATTTAGCTTCCAACTTTTCTATTTGAATATGCTTTATTTCCTTTTCTTGCCTGATTGCTCTGGCTAGAACTTCCAGTACTGTATTGAATAGGAGTGGTGAGAGACAACATCCTTGTCTAGTGCTGGATTTCAAAGGGAATGCTTCCACTTTTGCCCATTCAGTATGATATTGGCTGTTTTTTCGTAAATAGCTTTTATTACTTTGAGATACGTTCCACTGATACCGAGATTATTGAGGGTTTTTAGCATAAAGGTCTGTTGAATTTTGTCAAATGCCTTCTCTGTGTCAATTGAGATAATCAGTTGGTTTTTGTTTTTGGTTCTGTTTATGTGGTGAATTACGTTTATAGACTTGTATATGTTGAACTAGCCTTGCATCCCCAGGATGAATCCTACTTGATCATGATGGATAAGTTTCTGATGTGCTGTTGTAATCGGTTTGCCAGTATTTTATTGAAGATTTTTGCATCTATGTTCATCATGGATATTGGCCTGAAGTTTTCTTTTCTTGTTGGGTCTCTGCCGGGTTTTGGTATCAGGATGATGTTGGTCTCATAAAATGATTTGGGAAGGATTCCTTCTTTTTGGATTATTTGAAATAGTTTCAGAAGGAATGGTACCAGCTCCTCTTTGTGTGTCTGGTAGAATTCGGCTGTGAACCCATCTGGACCTGGCCTTTTATTGTGTGGTAGGCTCTTAATTGCTGCCTTGACTTCAGACCTTGTTATTGGTCTATTCATAGTTTCAGCTTCCTCCTGGTTTAGACTTGGGAGGACACAGGTGTCCAGGAATTTATCCCTTTTTTCCAGGTTTACTAGTTTATGTGCATAGAGTTGTTTGTAATATTCTTTAATGATGGTTTGAATTTCTGTGGAATCTGTGGTGATTTCCTCTTTATCATTTCTTATTGCATCTATTTGGTTGTTCTCTCTTTTCTTTTTTATCAGTCTGGCTAGTGGTCTGTCGATTTTGTTGATCTTTTCAAAATATCAGCTCTTGGATTTATTGATTTTTTGAAGGGTTTTTTTGTGTCTCTATCTCCTTCAGTTCTGCTCTGATCTTAGTTATTTCTGGTCTTCTTCTAGGTTTTGAGTTTTTTTTGATCTTGCTCCTCTAGCTCTTTCAATATTGATGATAGGGTGTCAATTTCAGATCTCTCCCCTCTTCCCTTGTGGGCACTTATTGCTATATATTTTCCTCTTGAGACTGCTTAAATGTGTTTCAGAGATTCTGGTATAATGTGTCTTCATTCTCGTTGGTTTCGAAGAACTTTTTTATTTCTGCCTTCATTTTACTGTTTATCCAATCAACATTCAAGAGCCAGTTGTTCAGTTTCCATGAAGCTGTGCAGTTCTGAGTTAGTTTCTTATTTCTGAGTTCTAACTTGATTGCAGTATGGTCTGAGAGACTGTTTGTTATGATTTCAGTTGTTTTGCATTTGCTGAGGAGTGCTTTACTTCCAATTATGTGATCAGTTTTAGAGTAGGTGTGATGTGGTGCTGAGAAGAATGTATATTCTGTGAATTTGGGGTGGAGAGTTCTGTATATGTCTATCAGATTTGCTTGTTCCAGGTCTGAGTTCAAGTCCTGGATATCCTTGTTAATTTTCTGTCTGGTTAATCAGTCTAATATTGACAGTGGAGTGTTAAAGTCTCCCACTATTATTGTGTGGGAGTTTAAGTCTCTTTGTAAGTTGTTAAGAACTTGCCTCATATATCTGGGTGCTCCCATATTGGATCCATATATATTTAGGATCGTTAGCTCTTCTTGTTGTATCGATCCTTTTACTGTTATGTAATGACCTTCTTGTCTCTTTTGATCTTTGTTGCATTAAAGTTTATTATATCAGAGATGCAAATTGCAACTCCTGCTTTTTTTGCTGTCCATTAACTTGGTAAATCTTCCTCCATCCCTTTATTTTGAGCCTTTGTGTATCCTTGCATGTGAGATGGGTTTCCTTGATATAGCACACCAATGGGTTTTGATTTTTTATCCAATTTGCCAATTTGTGTCTTTTGAATTGTGCATTTAGCCCATTTACATTTAGGGTTAATATTGTTATGTGTGAGTTTGATCCTGCCATTTTGATGCTAGCTGGCTGTTTTGCCCGTTAGTTGATGCAGATTCTTCATTTTATTGATGCTCTTTAGCATTTGGTATGTTTTAGGAATGGCTCGTACTGGTTGTTCCTATGTGTAGTGCCTCTTTCAGGAGCTCTTGAAAAGCAGGCCTGGTGGTGACAAAATCTCTGAGCACTTGCTTGTTCGCAAAGGATTTTATTTTTTCTTTACTTATGAAGCCCAGTTTGGCTGGATATGAAATTCTGGGTTGAAAGTTCTTTTCTTTAAGGATGTTGAAAACTGGCGCCCACTCTCTTCTGGCTTGTAGTCTTTCTGCCAAGAGATCTGCTGTGAGTCTGATGGGCTTCCCTTTGTGGGTGACCCGACCTTTCTCTCTGGCTGCCTTTTGTATTTTCATTTCAGCCATGGTGAATCTGACAATTATGTGCCTTGCGGTTGCTCTTTTTGTGGAATATCTTTGTGGTGTTCTCTGAACTTCCTAGACTTGAATATTGGCCTGCTTGCTTGGTTGGTGGGATTTTCCTGGATAATATTCTCAAGAGTATTTTCCCACTTGGATTTATTCTTTTCGCCACATTCAGGTACACCTATCAAACGTAGATTAGGTCTCTTCACATAGTCTCACATTGCTTGGAGGCTTTGTTTGTTTCTTTCCACACTTTTTTCTCTAATCTTGGTTTCTCGTTTTATTTTATTGAGTTGATCTTCGACTTCTGATATTTCTTCTTCTTGGTCAATTCGGTTGTTGAACCGTGTGCATGCTTCTCAAAGTTCTCATGTTGTGTTTTTCAGCTCCTTCAATTCATTCATATTTCTTTCTAAGTTGTCCATTCTTGGTATCATTTCCTCAAATCTTTTTTCAAATCTTTTTTCATGGTTCTTAGTTTTTTTGCATTGATTTAGAACATGTTTTCTTAGCTCACAAAAGTTTCTCATTACCCACCCTCTGAAGTCTGATTCAATCATTTTGTCACACTTATTCTTCATCCAGCTTTGTTCCCTTGCTGGTGAGGAGTTGTAGTCTTTTGTAGGAGGTGAGGTGTTTTGGTTTTGGGTGTTTTCCTCCTTTTTGCACTGGTTTCTTCTCATCGTTGTGGATTTGTCCACCTGTCATCTGAGTAGTTGCTGACTTTTTGATTGGGTCTCTGAGTGGATGCCCAGATTTTTGATGGTGAAGTATTTCTGTTACTTAGTTTTTTTTTTTTTTAACATTCTAGCCCCTCTGCTGTACAACTGCTCTGGTCCACTCCATGCCCTGCTTGTCTAAGGCACAGTTGTAGCAGCTACAGAACAGTGGGGGTTTCTACCAGTTTCTTCTTCTGCTATCTTTGTCCCAGAATGATGCCCCCCAAATGTCAGTCTGATTAGTTTTTTTTGAGGTGACTCTTTGGATATACAGGGATCAGGGAGCTGCTTCAGGAGACAGTCTGTACTTTATAGGAGCTCAAGTGCTGAGCTGTGAGCTCCATTGTTCATTCAGGGCTGTTAGGCAGATACATTTAAGTCTGCTGCAGCAGAGTTAAAAACTTATAAAACTCCTCTTTTTCTTCAGATCCTCTGTCTCGGGGTGTTATGGCTTTCTTTATGAGTATCTGTTGCACTTTCCTGCCCAGGTAGGAGGCAGTCTAATCACTATTTTCCTGCTGAGGCTCTGCCCTGCTATTGCGGGGTCTTCCCTGTTGCTGTGGGCTCTTCCCTGCTGCTGTGGGCTCTGCCCTGCTGTCATGGGCTCCGCCCTGTTGCCGTGGGCTCTGCCCTATTGTCATGGGCTCCACCCTGTTGCCATGGGCTTTGCCCCATTGCTGTGAACTCTGCCCTTTTGCCATGGGCTCTGCCCTGCTGTCATGGGCTCCACCCTGTTTGCAGAGTCTCTGTGTTGTGGCAGGCTGCCTTGGCAATGACAGGCTGCATCAGCAATGGGAGTGTACCTCAGTAGGGGTGGAATGCCTCGGGAATGGCAGACACCCCTCCCCCACTGAGCTGCACTGTCCTGGATTCAGCTGTGCCCACAGTGAAACCCTCAACCCCGAGTGTTTTGAATCATCGTTTTGTTTGTCCCTGTGGGGGTGGGACCTGCTGAGTTTGATCACCTGGCTCCCTGCCTCAGAGCCCTTTTTCTTTTTTTTAGTTGAATGGTTGACTCTCTTCTAGGTGTTTCAGTCGCCTGCTGATAGGGCACCAGGAGCTGTGTGATTTCTCATGCAGCAACCCACTGTGCCGGTTCAAATGTCACTTTCCAGGAATCTCCTGGACTGGCTCACTGTCCAAGTCCCATTTAATCAGATGGATAAGCTAATCTGCCCCCCAAATCTCAGATTTCTAGTTTAACAGGGTACGCAGGCCAGTGTGTTTTGTGTGGAGTGCTATTGCACTGTGGCACCGGCTGAAATGGCCGCGCCAGCTGAAACAGCTGCACTGGAGTCCCCTGTCTCTCCTACACCTGGGAATTCTCCCGTTCTTTGGGCACCAAAGATCTGTCTGGAAATGCGGCTTGGACTCACCCTCTGTGTCTTCACTTAGAGCTGCAATCCTGAGTTTCTTCTACCATGCCATCTTCTTTTTCCCTTCCACCTCATATCTTCAATCTCAATAGAGAAATGCTACAGAACAAGAGAGTGCAATAATTTTACTGTGCATTTCATTGCAGAATAATCCAAAGCCATTCAACCTATTCTGTGATTAGCCCATCTTCCATGAGAATCTTAGGTCTCTGTGTGGGGACAAGGATGAGGGCATTGACATACCTTCCAGGTAGCCAAGAGCATGCTCCTCTAATCCAAACATGTAAAGAGCCAAGTATTCATGTAGTACTGCCATTAGCTATTCCCCAAAGAATATTTCCTATCTAATTGTTACACACCAAAGTTCTATTATAATGTGAAATAATTTTCAATATCCCATAAGAGTCAAAAACTTCTGATAATGCAATGCAAAGCAGAACAGAGCCTTAGATTTTGATAGGGATCTATCCACATCTGCTTCCTGGGGTTTCATGAGGAAAAAAGAGTTTTTTCCCAATACGAGGTCTGTGGTATCTCTTTTTTTTCACAAGGACTCCCAAGCTTTTAGAGCTTGAATATCAGCTTTTAATTTGGCTGAATTTTAAACATAATACTCTTTTAAGAAAGGCTTTTAAATTTCTTATTACCAAACTTCACCCAGGCCAAATGGCCAATATTTCTGTCCTCAAAGAAAAAAAAATTCAAGATGGTTTGTGGAGGCGAAGATAATCAACAAATGGTAAATGTCATGCAGATATCAAACCAGAAAGGACTTATTCTTTAAGCCAGGAATTGAACCCTGAACCCATGCCACCACTGGAAAAAGTCAAAGCCTTAGTTGCTAAGCTGCAGAATTAGAAAAATTTTACTGCTCTTCCCAGGAGCCTAGAGCTGTCAATTTTGAGCTTACTTTGGCTTTTAAGTGCTCAAAATACTATTCAGAGCTAACTATAGCACAAACCCAAAAATTCCTGTTCCCTGGATTGCAGAGACCAAGAGAAAGTACCACCACATGTTGACAATATGTGGCAGAGACCAAGGCAAGGCTCCCAAGGACATTTTCAACATGTGGTCTCTGGGCAAGAATGTTGCCCGGAGTAACAGGAAACGTAGGAAAAGGAAAGAAGAAAAAGGAAAAAAAGCATTGCCTGCAGCAGGGTGGGAAGGTGAGGATCTCAGGGAGGCCAGAGAAAGACCCACCCATTGCAGAGACATTGAATCAAAAGTTGAAGTGTAGCGGGAGCGGCCACGGGAAATGGATCTCTTGGACACTAAATACAGGAGGAAGGAGTTTATTCAGCCAGGAGCAAGGTGGCATAGTTGCCTAACAGCCAAGCTTGCCTAACAAAGGAAGGTTCCTTCTTTATATAGGCTTATACTTTAGATTTTACAGGTGGAAGAATCTTAGGTTTATAGCTTAACATATGAAAAGTGTCTTGGTTTACAGTTTTAGTAATTACATATAAAAGGGTTTTGGTTTACAGTCTTGGGAATTACATATGAAAAGGGTCTCTGTTTACAGTCTCAGGAATTACATATGTAAAGTGTTTTGGTTTTCAGTCTTAGGAATTACATATGAAAAGGGCTTTGGTTTACAGTCTTAGGAATGAAAAGGGGAAGTTTACAGTCTTAGAAAAAAAGGGGAAGTTGATCTGAGATGCCTGGGTTTCCCTCTTCATTCCCCCCCGCCCCGAGGTTCTCACCACTTTATAATATTAGTGAGAGGTCTCACTTTCCAGATTTTCTGAAGAAACCTACTGATAATGTTTCATATAATACACTTATGATGTCTTTTTTTTTTTTTTTTTTTTTGGCTAACTACAGTAGTGATGAATCCCCTAATCATCTGAAGGAACAGGAAGAGTAGACAAGAGAGCAGTAAACAAACACCTATTATTATTATAACACTTCTGATGAGGGTTTTGAATCCTCCCAAGGATGAGAACCAACCTCCAAATAAGGACTCAGGGTTAAATCCTTGCCACACCTGTACAGGCATGTGTGCCAGTTTGCTCATGTCTCACACAATATCCTCTGCTGCTTGCCCCTGGTCATCTATGTGCAGATGGCAGTTGGTTAGATTGAATTTTCCACAGACACCCACTTCAGCTGCTAGCAAATAATCCAGGACCAGCCGGTTCTGATAAATTGCATTTCTCATTTGAGTTTCTTGTCAAACCAAGAGAGACAGAGCTTTGCCCGTTTCATTAGTATTTACAAAATAGCTTGCAACCAGATGATCCAGTTGAGCATGTAAATAGGGGTCTGGTATCCACATGAGCCATCTTCAGCCCATGTGGCCAGCCTATAGTACTCAATAATTATCTCTGGTGGCCACTCATCATCTGTCCAATTCCCTAGTTTTAGGTCTCTCTTCTCCCCAGCAGAGTAAACTGGATGCCCTAACAGCTCACATATCTTAACAGATAATAGGAAGAAAGAGGGCTTAATGATGCCTATACATGGCTACCTGTCCATCTCACAGATTACACACCTTATATTGAGTACCATTATATAATCAGGTTCCCTTCTGTGCCCCCATACATTTTTAAGAACTGCAGGACAATAGAATGGCAGTAACTTTTACATCCTACCTGGTGTACATACTGAGGGAATTCTTCAAAATTAGTTAATGTTCTTACTGTGCAAGTCCAAATATTAAGAAGAATGAGTCCCATGATGAATCTCCTCATGCTTTGGCCATGCGTGGACCAGCCAGCTTCCAGGACATGGCTGGAGCAAGGCTTGTTGTCCTTTTAAGGTGATTCTGCAGTCCTTTCCTTGGTCTAAGTCTCAGCTGTTGCTGGTTTTTACACAGCTGTGGTGGATTCAGGCTGGGATTTCCTCTACCTTCACTGCTGTGGGATTGGTCAGGATCAGGTCTGAGGTCCTTTCCATTGTGGCTTTAGAGGGGCTGTACTCCCGTCCTTTATCCACACATGATTACCTAGTGAGAAAGGGTGAATTGGGGAGAAAAAGACTTAGAGGACATTTGTTATTTACTTAGGTTGAGGTATCCTAAGTGATTCTCCTTAGGGCTGGTAACTAGCATCCTAACTCAATCTCTCCCCACTCCTGAGGAGTTTCTAGGAGTGCCCAAAGTAGGGGAGGAGGCCTATGGTATAAGACTTCATAGGGGAATATCCTGTTTTTCCTAAAGGGGGTGCCTCTAATTTTGAATAACCCCAAGGGATATGCCTGCACCCACTCTAATCTTGTTCCCTGACTCACTTTCCCTAAGCTGTTTTTGACGATCTGGTTCATTTTTTTCCCCACTTTTCCAGATCTCTGAGGTTGGTAGGCAGTGTGCAGTTTCCAGGTGATACCTAAGCCTGTTGCTGTTTTCTGGACTAAATCTGGCACAAATGCTGGTCCACTGTCTTCTCCAATGTGCAGTGGCAGTCCAAATTTAGGGATAAGCTCTCAAAGCAGCACACAGATTACTTCATGGGCTCTTCAGTCCCATCCAGAGTATGTGCACACCAGGACCAACAAATGTTTATGCCCCCCACACTTGGGCATTTCAGCAAAGTCTACCTGGAGATCTTCAAACGGAGCTGCTCCATAAGCTTGAATTCCAGGGGGAATAGTTGGACCCTGCCTTGAGTCGTGTTGCCAACATATAATACATTGCTGTACCACAGTTTGGGTCAAGGCTGCTAAGTGTGAGATGTAAAAGTACCAGCCCAACATCTTTTCAAGCGACTCTTGACTTAAATGAGTGGTCTCATGTACGGCTTGTACACCTGCTGCCCCTAGCAGCTGTGGTACTGCTATTCTTCCATCTGAGAGTTGGATCCATCCTTCTTTAAACAGTTGCCCCCCTTCTGTCTGGAGAAAGTCTCTTTCCTCCTTAGAGTAAGTAGGTGTTAGATCAGGGGTCTGGGGAATCAGCGGGGCTGTAACTGCCATTTGGTAGGGGGTAGATGCTGCCTTACGAGCTGCTGAATCCACTCAGGAATTTCCCAGGGCCACAGAGGTGTGGGCCCACTGATGTCCTCAGCAATGCACGACCGCCACCCTCTGGGGCTTCCCGACTGCTTCCAGCAGCTGCAAAATTTCATGCTGATACTTTATTTCTTTTCCCCCTGAAGTTAACAGATCTCTTTCTTTGTACAGTGCTCCATGTACTTGGAGAGTCAGGAAGGCATATCGAGATTCAGAGTAAATGTTTACAACCTTATCTTTACTCAGCTTGAGGGCTTGAGTTAAAATGATGAGTTCAGCCTTCTGAGCTGAGGTGCCCTGAGGCAGGGATCTGGCCTTTATTACAGTGTCCAGAGTTACCATGGCATAGCCTTCACATCTGTCCCCTCGTGGATTGACAAAGCTGCTCCCATCCACATACAACTCCCAGTCTACTACTGTCCATGGCTGATCCCGAAGATCAGGGCTGCTGAAATAGACTGTGTCCAGGACTTCAACACAGTTGTGTTCAATGGGACTCTCTGACATTGGGAGCAAAGTGGCAGGGTTTAAGGTGTTGCAGACTTCAATGGCAATGTGGGGATTTTCACATAGCAGGTCCTGGTATTTGGTCAGCCTAACATCTGATAACCAGTGGTGCCCTCTGGTATTCATTAGAGTCACTACTGTGTGAGGTGCCTTTATATTTAGATTCTGTCCCAGAGTTAGCTTATCTGCTTCTTGTGCTAGCAGAGCAGTTGCTGCCAGGGCCCTTAAGCATGGGGGCCATCCTTTGGAAACTCCATCCAGCTGCTTGGAGAGGTAAGCTACAGGCCTGGGCCAAGGTCCTACTGTTTAAACTAGGACCCCAACTGCCACTTTTTCTCTTTCTGCCACATATAATGTGATGGGCTTTGTTAAATCAGGCAGCCCCAAAGCTGGAGCTGACGTTAGTTTTGTTTTCAGTTCCTGATAAGCCTGATGCTGCTGGGACTTCCATTCAAAGGGTTCCTTGTCTCCCCTGTTTGTCACATCATAGAGGGGTTTGGCTAGTACTGCAAAGTTTGGAAATCCACAATTTACAAAACCCACCGCTCCCAGGAGCTCTCTTGCCTGCTGTTTAATCTCAGGTTCTGTCACATTGCAAGCGGCTTGCTTTCTCTCTACTTCTAGGCTGCATTCCCCCTTCCAGATGGTGAGCCTCAGATATTGCATTTGCTTTTTGGCAAATCTGGGCTTTCCGTTTAGATACTTTATACCCACAGTCCTCCTGGTGCCGAAGTAAGGCATTTGTTTGCACACCTGACTGCCGTGGGGTGTCCCAATAGAAGTTTATCAGCATACAGGGGCAGCATGCAAGCAAGAAGCTTCTGGGAGGCGGTCATGGGCTTATGCCTCCACAAGGATGATGAGAGTTTTTGAGTCCCTGGGAAGCTGGGTCCAGGTGTATTGAGTGGTTACACCTGCTTCTGGGTTTCTTCCATTGAAATGCAAATAGTTTTTGACTCTCCGAGGTCAGTCCATTGGTAAGGAGGTATTCTTTAAGTCCAATTAAATGAACCAACTATCATCTGCTGGCAGTAATCCCAACTGCGTGTATGAGTTGGGTGCAAAGCCATGCAAGCCCTGCACAGGCCTGGGTGATAATTATCAGTCTTCTGCTTCTGGCTAGGAAGGCTCCACCCTCCTTCCCAAGGGACAATGAGAGCCTGGATGACCCCTACCTGAGGCATTTTTAGCTGCAGGGAGTCTCCTTTTTGAATGGGATAGAGGCTCTCAATTTGAACAGGTTTTGCCAGAGAAGTGGGGCAGGGGCAGTCCATTAAGTACAAGAAAGTGTGTCCTCTTAACACCTTAATAGCTGTAACAATATTGGTTCTGTTTTTTTCCCCATTGGGGGGTTACAGGGTTGTGGTCCGGACTGTGGTCTCTTTGGGGGCACGTGAGTCCAGCCCCCTTCTCTTTTAGTCCAGTGGCTCTTCAATTAGATTGAACAGAGCCCCTTCACTTTTTATCTGGATCCTTGTGCTTAGGATCACCCTGTTCTCCCATTAACTGTGGGCATTTTTTTTTCAATGTCCTATTTCTTGACAAAATGCACACTGATCGCATTGCAGGTGCAGGTAGGCAGACTGTGGGGCTTTCCAGGAACCCCCCTTTTTCCACGCTCTTGGGGGCGTTCCTCTCATAGCAGCAGCTATCAAGTCAGCCTTCTGTTGAGCCTGATGTTCCCTTTCCTTATGATTTTCCCTCTGGCTTACCGCCTCTTGGTTTACAAACGCCTGGTTAGCTGCTTCCAATAACTGAAGTATTCATGCATGCAAATCCTGCCTGTTTCTGCCACTGAATTTGCCTGGACTTGGGAGTTTGCATTTCTCAGTGGTTAGGGGGATGATGGTTTCTAGCAGTCTATCCTTTGGCTACTAAAACAGTCACTGCCTGCTCTCTTAGCCACTTCGAAGGGTTTAACACTAACTGCAACCACGAGTCTATGTATGGAAATTGATCAAGGTGTTCTAGCTAGCCGTATATAACCTCATGCCTTACTTTTGAGACAAGGGGCCTGTGTAGGGTCCCCTCTGGGGGCCAACCTACCCTAAATGCTGGCCAATCTTTCCTACATAAAACCCTTAATTTCTCTGGTGTCATAGTTACTTTATAATTCCCACTAAATCCCTTCTTGAAATTTTTCAGCATGGTTTCTAAAGGGGTGGAATGGCTATGGGAGTAAGCCATATTAAAAATTCAAAGAAACAATTTCCACACTTAGGAGAGTGTTAGCTCACTCACAGCAGTTCCCGCCTAGCAAGACCCAGCACAAAGCACTTTCCAATTTACATTCACTTCAATCCTTTTACAACACCCAGAGGCTTCTTCATTCAGCCTTATGTGGCTGTCTCTAATTTTTACAAATTGCTCGATGACACAGACACACATCCACACACACAGACACATCCAATTGCTCTACTTCCAATTCAAAACCATAAGCAAAGAGCTTCCACAGTTACAGAGAGCTACCTTCCAATATGCCAATCTGGCACCCATGGGTGATCAGGCCATGCTTCCACCCAAAATGGGGTGGGCTACCTTCCTGGGGTCAATCTTACCAAATTCAGTTGTCCAGACTTCCCCAAATGCTCGTTCCTCCTCGGTGTTCAGCCACTGGGTGGATCCACACTGCAGGGCCTCCCTGCTCCACTCTGGTGAGGCTTTTCCACTGGGCAAATACCTGCCTGGGAGTACTCTCAGGATGCATCACCCCAGCAAGCAGGAGTCCCCCTGTAGGGATGCTCCACAGTGCTAGGCAAACCACCTAAGAGACTTTTTCCTGCTGTCTGCTATCCGAGACTCGCTTTCCAGCCAATGCACCAAAAATGTAGCAGGAGCAGCCACGGAAAATGGATCTTTTAGACACTGAATACAGGAGGAAGGAGTTTATTCAGCTGGGAGCAGGGTGGCATACTTGCCTAACAGCCAAACTCACCTAACAAAGGAAGGTTCCTTCTTTATATAAGCTTATACTTTAGATGTTACACGTGGAAGAATCTTAGGTTTATAGCTTAACATATGAAAAGGGTCTCCGTTTACAGTCTCAGGAATTACATATGAAAAGGGCTTCAGTTTTCAGCCTTAGGAATGAAAAGGGGAAGTTTACAGTCTTAGGAAAAAAGGGGAAGTTGATATGAGGTGCCTGGGTCTCCCTCTTCATCGGCAGCTGCTTTTTGGTCTCAAAGGTATCTTTTCCAAAAGTCCCATCAGCTCTCAAGTGTCCCCCTTTTGGGGAGAAAAAGCTCGCCATGTCCTTTGATCCTATATATGCTTAACTCTGTCACCTGTCACTATCAGCAAAGAGTGCAAGACAGATAAATCCAAAGAAAATAGCAGTTAATATCCAGTAGTGCCAAACCCATTTTTAGCCAAGAGGGACTTTACTGAGAGGTACTCTAACCCCATAAATCTTAGGAAGGACTCTAATCTTCCTAAGTTGGGCCTCAAACAGGTTCAGTTAATCACCCTTGCCTTTTATTAAGAGGAGTCTTTAACCCTGACTGTCTCAGGGGAGACTCTAACTTTTCTAAGTTGGGTCTCCAACCCAATCCCATCCTTTACCAAGTTAGATGCACCTCACTTACCTAAAGTTGGCCAATTGGTGCTGCACACAGATAATTTTCCTTTGGGTCGAGGGTCTCTTCAGTATAATCCCTTAGTAGTTTGCCAGAAAGATGTTACCAGAAAGGAGTCTGAATCCAATCCCAAAGGGAGGGCTCTTGGATGTCACACAAGAAAGAATTCAAGACAAGTCTATAGAGTAAAGTACAAACAAATTTATTAAGAAAGTAAAGGTATAAAAGAATAGCTACTCCATAGGCAGAGCACTGGCTTGGGCTGCTCCATTAAGGATACTTCTGGTTATTTCTTGACTATATGTTAAACAAGGAGTGGATTATTTATGAGTTCTGGGAAAAGGGTGGGTACTTTTAGGAACTGAGAGTTCCTCCCACTTTTAGACCATACAGAGTAACTTCCTCTTTTCATTGCCATGGCATTTGTAAACTGTCATGGTGCTGTTGGGAGTGACTTTCATCATGCTAATGCATTATATAATCAGCATATAATGAGCAGTGAGGACAACCAGAGGTCACTTTCATCCCCGTCTTCCCTTGGTGGGTTTTGGCAAGCTTTTTTACTGCAACCTGTTTTGTCAGCAAAGACTTTATAACCTGTATCTTGTGCTGAACTCCTAGATCGTCCTGTGACTTAGAATGCCTAACCTCCTCGGAATGCAGCCCAGTAGGTCTCAGTCTTATTTTACCCATCCCCCATTTTAGATGGAGTTGCTCTGGTTCAAACACCTCTGACATTATTATCACATTTTAGCTAGGACAGATTGTTGATGTTTCAGAAGTAACAAATATCAAACCAGAGTGGGCTTGATTTAGAAAGCAAAGCCAGGCTGTCATAGTGAAAAGAAGAAGAAGAAGGTAGAATCTCAGCTATGAAACTGCAACATGGAGTGACAGCCATTGCTCTTTCAGTTTGGTTGGCTAGCAAAAAGTTGGCTTTATTAGGTAAATAAAGTCCCTAAGTAGTCAAAAAAAATTTTTAAATTGTTGTTGTTGGTTGTTTTTTCCCACTTACCCACATCCTTTTTATTTTTTTTGTGTGAAAATTCTGCCACTTCAGAGGACTTGTTCTCCATAATTTGAAACTTTTCTTTGGATTTGATCAGGTCAGACAGAGTTGGTCAAACCCAATAGTAAAAACACCAAATCAAGAACAAATACAGAAACAAATAAACAACCACAAGAAACAATTAAGTAATACAAATGATCTCCCAATTTATATGATTACTGAGTGCTCTAATGTTAAGGAGAAATTAAGAGCAGCTGGTTGTTAATCTTAACTTTAGTCAAGAAGAAAACCCAATTCAATCCAAAGGATTATAAATCATTCTATTATGAGGACACATGCACAAGAATGTTCATTGTGGCACTGTTTACAATAGCAAAGACTTGGAACCAACCCACATGCCCATCGATGATAGACTGGACAGAGAAAATGTGCACATATACACCATGGAATACTATGCAGCCATAAAAAATATGAGTTCATGTCCTTTGTAGGGACATGGATGAACCTGAAAACCATCATTATCAGCAAACTGAGACAAGAACAGAAAATCAAATACTGCATGTTCTCACTCATAGTCGGGAGTTGAACAATGAGAACACATGGACACAGGGAGGGGAGCACTACACACTGGGGCCTGTGGGGGGAATCTAGGGGAGAGACAGCGGGGGATGGGGAGTTGGGGAGGTATAACATGGGGAGAAATGCCAGATATAGGTGATGGGGAGAAAGGCAGCAAACCACATTGCCATGTATGTACCTATGCAACAATCTTGCGTGTTCTTCACATGCACTCTAAAACCTAAAATGCAATAAAACATATTTTTTTTAAAAACCCAAAATAAATAGAAATTAAATTAATTAAAATTAAAAATAAATAAATAAATAAAATGGGGGGGCAATTCAGCTACATACCTTGGGATGGATCTCAGGCTGAAGACTGCTCTCTACCATTCTAGAAGCAGGAAAACACTCAAACTTGCCTTCCCTTGGAAACAAGCTCAAACTCAAGAAAGGAGTTACCTGCCTTTCATCATCATGAAGGCAGGAAAACTTGTCTTCCTTGCTGGAAGCAAGTAAAACTCCAAAAAAAGGAGCTGTACAGCAAAATAAACTTTAGACCTTACCAAATTTTTGAATATCAGAAATTCTCTGGAAGCACAAGGGAGGCAGGAGTAAGGTGGCTCCCAGGCCCCAGCAAATTTCTTCTATTAGTTTGAGCCATAAAGATAGCTCAAGCTGGTGCCAAACACCAATAGAAGATTTGTCAAAGGTTGGGGCACCTCCACTAAGAATCCCTTCATGGTTACCAAACTGTGAACCCCAAATATCTGAGACAGGTCTCAGTCAATTTAGAAAGTCTATTTTCCCAGGTAGTAACATGTGCTCATGCCACAGCCTCAGGAGGTCCTGATGACACGTGCCCAAGGTTGTCAGGAAACAGTTTTGTTTTATACATTTTAGGGAGACATGAGACATAAATCAACATATGTAAGATGAACACTGGTTAGCTCCAAAAAAGTAGGACAACTTGAAGTGAGGAGTGGGCTTCCAAGTCATAGGTAGATAAAATACAAAGGTTGAATTCTTTTGAGATTCTCATAAGCTTTTCCAAAGAAGGCAATCAGATATGCATTTATCTCAGTGGGCCAAAGGATTACTAAAGAGAATTGAAGGCAGGTTTGCCCTAAGCTGTTCCCAGCTTGACTTTCCCTCTAGCTCAATGATTTCAAGGTCCCAATATTTATTTTTCTTTTATAATATAGTACACCTGTTGTTAGATTCTAGTCTTGCATAATGTTTTTAAATTTTTATTATTTTCTACAGCTTGGACTGAATTCTAAAATTTTTCCTACAAGTCTTCAAAATAATATTTTCGATTTTCTTTTCTTCTTTTCTTTCTTTCCCCCTCCCAACTTTTCCTGATTTGAAATTACCAAAAATTAACCTGTCCTTTCTTTAATCCCTGCAAACTGAAGCTAGAAAACTTAAACTTCAGGAGAAAATGAAATGACAGTAACCTATTTATATATATAAACCACTTGCATACCTGCCTACTGATGTATGGACTTCAGAGTAAGATGGCCTATATTGATTTTTCAGGATTGCTCTTCATATTTTTGTTCTTTTGTTGTGTTTCCTCCCATCTTTTTCCAGTTTTTTTCTGGTAGAATGTAAGAATTCACAACCTACTAAAAATGAGCTTTTCTAATAATGTGAGACCTACTTGTCTAGGAATAAACCATCCTAGCCATGAGACAAAACCTGGAACTAGAAATACATTTTCTTCTCAAATGCTTTCTCCAGAAGACTTTAAAAAGAAAACAGAAAAAATGTTAAAGGAAAATAAATGTTGGAACCCCCATATCACTAAGCCAATAAAAATGTCAAGCTGGGAACTATGTCAGGCAAATCTGCCTTCCATTTTATTCCTAAACAAGATAGCTATGAAGATTTATAATAAATAAATATATAAATAAATACAAAGCTATGTAGCTATGTATCTCCCTTATTATTTGCCCACAAGGAAATTCTCTGTGGACAAAATATGTACAGAACTCAAAGCCATCACTCTGGGGCTCACATGAGACAAATGCATGACTGATTGCTTCGGCTAACCTATTGTTTTACTACGTCAGACTAAGGGATAAGTGACTATTTTTTTTTTTTTTTTTGAGACGAAGTTTCGCTCTTGTTACCCAGACTGGAGTGCAATGGCGCAGTCTCGGCTTACCACAACCTTCTCCTCCTGGGTTCAGGAAATTCTCCTGCCTCAGCCTCCTGAGTAGCTGGGATTACAGGCACGTGCCACCATGCCCAGCTAATTTTTTGTATTTTTAGTAGAGACAGGGTTTCACCATATTTACCAGGATGGTCTCGATCTCTTGACCTCGTGATCCACCTGCCTCAGCCTCCCAAAGTGCTGGGATTACAGGCTTGAGCCACCGCGCCCGGCTGACTGACTATTCTTATACTCTCCTCTCACATGTAAATTGTGTATTCAGTAAAAGGCTAATCAGAGACTCAAAGTAATAAAACTTTTGTTTCTTATTTATCTATGACCTGGAAGTCACCTTCCCCTCCTCCAGTTTTAGTGCCTTTTTGGACAGAACCAATACAGAATGATGTCTCCTGTCTCCCTAAAATGTGTGAAACCAAGCTGCACCCAGACAACCTTGGGCACAAGTCATTAGGATCTCTTGAGGCTGTTGCATAGGCACATCCTTAAACTTGGCAAAATAATAAACTTTCTAAATTGGTTGAGACCTGTCTCAGATATTTGGGGTTCACAATTTAAACCATGAGTGGTTTGTGGGTTAAGTTCTTAAGAAGTTACTGGGCCTTAGGACAATAGATGAAACGAGTCTCTTCCTCCAACTGAGAACTAGTTCCTCCTTCTTGGACTTTTCCTATTGTCTTTTCTATTTTATTACTTTGCATGTGGTTTCTGGCAATGTAGTGGTTACATCATCCTAGTTCCTATAATTAGACACAGGTCTAATTTTTTAAAAAGAGTGCTAGTTGTCTTCCCATGATTTTCCTTACCATCTCAGCTTATCTTATTTCCACTGGGGAGTTTGAGCTTTTAAATCATTCCTGGGTGGCACCCTGGTGATAAATTGTCAAAAACAGGGCCTCACATATGTCTCATGATTTGCAACATTCCTTTCATGAGTAGCCACCTCCTTTTAAGTCTTTAGAGAAGCAGAAATATACATTTCCATGTTTTTACTCATTTTAATTAATGATTTAGGTGGCTCAGTCCAAAGGTTTGGGGTATCCATATCCTGCTGGAGAAAGGCTAGAATTTACATCATTTTTAACAGCAGATCAGAGTGGGACAATAGCAGAGGCATGTTATTTACAAAGCTGCCTCCTCTAACTGCACTTAGCTGACTGGCCTAGTCCTACATCTCAGTTCACTGGCTCCCTAACCTGCTCTAGTAGTCCCTAAGGAAGAAGATGTCTTCTCATTTCAGAATTCCCTATATCACCAGTCCCACTGCAGGAATCTCCATTATGGAATCAAAGAAAATCTATTAATTCTCTAGAGGCCTGCATTTCTTCTTTCTTATTAAGGCTGACAGGTATTACACTATTCAGAGCCTGCCTAGTGAGGGGTTCTGGTAAATGGGTTGGCCTTCTTCCCTAGGCAACTCAACAACTATAAC